GGGGAGCCTTCGGCACCCCTCGATGAGTGGTGGACACTCTATACCGATGGCTCCTCAGCCACCAAGGCATGCGGAGGAGGGGTAGTCCTCATTACACCCGAAGGCTTCCGCGCATATTATGCCATTCGCTTCTCCTTCAAAGTCTCCAACAACGAAGCCGAGTATGAGGCCCTCCTCTGTGGCCTTCGGCTAGCAGCAAACCTGAAGGCTAAAATGATCCGCGTCAAGTGCGACTCTAAACTTGTCGTGGGTCAAATCTCCGGGGAGTACGAAGCCAAGGAAGGAAGGATGAAACAATACAAAGAAGCGGCTGAGGAGTTGCTCAAGGTGTTTGAGACACATTCTCTCACCCAAATACCGAGGGCTCAAAACTCCGAGGCCGACATTCTATCCAAGCTTTCGGATGAATCCCCCGAGCACCTCTCCAAAATTGCAAGAATTGAGGAACTCAGCCTCTCAAGCATCCACGCGAGCCCCGTCATGAACATCCACCTAAGGCCGGAGGATTGGATCTCCGACATCATCACCTTCATCACCACAGGGCAACTGCCCCAAGACGAAGCCCACGCCAAGTTAGCAAAACTGAGGGCTCCCAGCTACACCCTCGAAAACGGAAGGCTTTACAAGAGATCTTACAACGGCACCCTTCTCCGGTGCCTTCATCAAGATGAGGCCGAAGTCGCCATGGAGGAAGTGCACAGTGACACTTGCTCAGCTCACCAGGGACCCTTCTCCATGTCCCGAAGGCTCTGTGTTCAAGGCTACTTTTGGCCCACGATGGCTAGAGATTGTGCTGATCTAGCCCGAAGGTGCACCGCTTGCCAACACTTCCAGAAGGCCCCCGGCAGACCTGCGGTCAACTACGCCCCCATCAGCACCGCTATACCCTTCTCCAGGTGGGGGATTGACCTAGTAGGCCCTCTGCCGAGGGGTACCTCCAATAACAGACACATCATCGTGGCCATTGATTACTTCACCAAATGGGTGGAGGCGGAACCCCTCGCCAGCATCACTGAAGCCCGGTGCCGCCACTTTGTTCTCAAAAATATCCTCACAAGGTTTGGCGTCCCCCAACAGATCATCTCAGACAACGGCACTCAATTTGAGGCAGCCCCCTTCTGCGCCCTCTTGAAGGCGTGGGGCATCAAACACACTTTCTCGTCCGCTGCCTACCCCCAAGGCAATGGACAAGTAGAGAATGCCAACCGCACCCTCCTCGAAGGGTTGAAGAAAAAGCTGGAAGCCGAAGGGGGAGGCTGGGTAGAAGAGCTTCACAACATCTTATGGGCCTATCGCACCACCCCTCGGCGGGCAACCGGCGAAACACCCTTCTCCCTATGCTATGGCTTTGAGGCTAAGGCTCCAACAGAGGTGACCCTTCCGACCCGAAGGGTGGAACAATATGAACCCGAAGTCAACGACACCAACATGGCCCTCGACCTTCATCTCATCTCAGAACGCCGAGAGCAAGCCTTTCTCAGGGCTGAAAACTATAGGAGACAAGTCAAAGGCTACATCGACGCCAAGGTCCGCTCCCGGGAATTTCAGGTGGGTGACTACGTCCTCCGACGAAGGGAGGCCAGCCTACCCACCGAAGGCGGCAAGATGGCGCCTAAGTTTGAAGGCCCTTACATCATCTCAGCCATCATCAAACCAGGAACGTACAAGCTAAAACGCCCCAATGGGACGGAAGTCCCTAGACATTGGAATGTGCACCACCTTGTCAAATTCTATCAATAAAACATGAGCGGCCAAGCCCTCATCCCCAGCAAGTGTAAATATCAATGGCCCAAGGCCCCATCTGTTTTTGAAGAATAATCAAAAGGCCAAGCCTTCATCACCTACATATTGTACAAGCGGCCCAAGGCCCCCTCCTCTATTACAAATGAATGGCCGGGCCCTCATCCCTTCACCAAAATAGGCCCAAGGCCTCTTCCTCTCATGAGGGGGAACAACAATTTACGTACCAAGTACCAAGTGTATGGGTCACCCCCATCACTCTTTGAAAACACCTAGTGTTTTCTCACTAAGCCGTACCCCACGAGGACGCAATCATGCATACATTATGCATACTTATACAAACCCTTTAAAAAAAAAAAAAAAAAAAAAACCGGGGGGTGCAACACCCCTCGGCTCCGGCTGGTACCAAGTGCCCCCGGCTATTTGTGTTCCACACACAAATAAAACCCTTCCCAGGAACGCTTTCCGCGCCATCCCCCAAGGGGAGGCAGGCGACGGACCATGTCCCGGGCCCAGGATTCGACTTCCACAAACGAAACGCTCCCCGCGCTATCCCCCAAGGGGAAGCAGGCAACAGACCATGTCTCGGGCTGAGGGGACGACTTTCAAAACCGAGGCGCTTTCCGTGCTATCTCCCAAGGGGAAGCAGGCAACAAACGATGTCTCGGGCCGAGGAAACGACCCTCAAACCCTTCGGGATATCGGAAGGTCATTCCCGAAGGGGGAGCCAACGGTTTGTTCCGTTGCCTCCCATATAGGCCAAGCCTTTCCTAGAAACCAAGTTTCTAGATGCCTCTCCTACACCATCTAAAAAAAAAAAAAGATGTGTAGGAGGGAAGGAACTCCCCGGATACTATTCTCCCCGGAGGCTCAACACTTCGGATATACATTCCCGAAGGCTCCTACAAAGGCGCAAGAAAATATCTCAACAACAAATCATCTGGCTACATAGCCGAAGGATTTGCTACATTAGGCCTTGAAGTGCAAGGATTCCCCCCGGGGACCCAAGATGAAGGCTCACCAGCAAAACTTCACCTAAATTTGGCTAAGTCCGAAAATCAGCTGAATCAAAGCCAACTATGTTCCATGCCGAAAGCTACACAAAGTCCTAAGGCAAGCAAAACCTATATCTACACAAACCGGAGGCCTCACGCCGAAGGCAAAATGTCACCAGGCTCATTCAACAATGGAAAAATTTCTAAGTCCACGTATTGGCATTCTTCGGGAAACACTCATCGAACCGGGGACTACTCACAAGGTCTATTGTTGACAAGATCTCAAAACGACACTAGTCCATAAACTTGGACCCCCTCGGTGGACTCACACACTGGGGGCTTAGAAGGGTCTCATACCGGAGGGTTCACAACAACAACTAGTGGAATATTGTGGAAATTTGACTAAGTCCACAATTGGGGACCCTTCAGGAGAAGACCGGGATGCCCTCTTCACCAACCTTCTTACAACCGGTGGCCCCCCTAATCTACTTGGCAATGACCTCACGGTGCACTGCTAATCGAAGGCTCAGCATTTCCGGGGGCATAAGATACAATTTCACCCGGGGGAATTTCCTGAGTCTGATTCATTCTAGCCCTCAGTCTTATCACTTTACACCGGAAGCAATTACAAGGATTCTTTACCGAAGGCTTCCAATGGAATTTTACTTAGATTATGTTCTGAGGTTTTGCGCTACATCCGAAGGGTTTTTGACAGAAGCTTTGCTTAGAGAAGTTTCTAAGTCCACAACGACGACCCTCCGGCGATACTACACTACAACCGGGGGCTAGCGAGGAGTTACACTTAGAAAAATTTTCTAAGTCCACAAACTGGTGGCCTTCGGGAAGCCAGACAAAAGAAGGGAAAACATACATTCATACACAAACAAGAAAGAAGCAAAAACATACATTGATCAACGACAAAGGAATATATATTGAGAAGCCCGAGGGCGCATCATCATTCAAGTATTCAAAAGGGCGGAAATAAGAAGTTTGATTTACAATGGGGCCGAGGCCGAGGACTACAATCCATTACAAACATATGCAAGGAAAAATTTCCTAAGTATCAGCTGCAGTTTTTGAGGTTGCGTCTTCTCCAGCTTCCTCCTCCTCATCATCTGCCTCCTTCATCAACTCCGAATCCTCAAGATCAGGCCTCTCGACACCCGGAGGGAGGGGAACACGGGTATCCGGCTGAAGGGGGGGCAATCCATAAGCTGCAGGATTAAAGTCCTTTGGATCTACCCCGAGGTGCCTGGCCAGCCTCCGATAGACGAGCCATTGTGTGAAGAACTCGCCACCGTCGTAATACTCCTTACCCTTCCGGGCCAGCCACATAGCCCCGGGTCCCCTAACCCACGCATCAACTGAGGCCTCCACGACGGAATCCACCCAAGGCTTCCGCTCCTCGGCTTGCCATCCCTCGGCGACGAAGGCAGACTGTGACACCGCACCCGAACGTCCTTGAAAAACTCAATATAAAAAAAAAAATTAATTTCTATGTATTGAATTTTCGATTTCCAAACAATTGTAAAACAATTAATGTTTTACGTAGCGCATGATTGATTTTTGTATTGTTCAAACTCGTATGTTAGTGTCGGGTTTGCAAATACTTATTTGGGCCTTATTAATGAACATAAGAGCCCAACATTATCTAAATAATGTTACATAATCTTTCAAAACAATTTGAGGAAGGTCGGGCGGCCCAAACATTATTTTGGGCCCAACCTGCTAAAAATAGCAAGTATTCAAGAATGGCATCGTAGGCCCACTCGGGGGTGACCCACACGGCTAGTAGTCCAATATATGAATGACGATGTCAAAATAAGTGATAGTATGATTAGAGAAGAATACAAATGCCTATGGTCCCATCTTCGACATTTTTGAGCTAAATAATGGGAGTATGATTTTCCTTCTAGAATATTCAACATGTAAGTTATTGGGATGATCCTACACATGTTGGGAATCAATAATATGATTTATGAAGTTGACTTGGCCTACATAAATTATAAGGAGTACAAAAAGACATCTCATGACAAGGATAAAACAATAGGGTCCATCTTTTCATTTTGGAAGTATTGGTAGGTATTTTGGACCCCAAATTGAATGGGATCATTTGGGAACCATCCCACATGACCTTGGTACCTGCAAGACAAAGAAAAATGGGTGAGACAACTATGTGGGGCGGACATTTGACTTGAGAGCTACAACATTACAAAAAAGAAATAAAAGAGGAGGTCCACACCATGTTTAATTGCAATCAAACACCCTACCCTTTCTTTTTGTGAACCACATGCTTAGATATCATTTTGGGAGCTCCTAAACACCTCCCCCTCACCCCCCATTCGAACTGAAAGGGATAAGAAAGAAGGGAGAGCCTCACACTCAAAAGAGAAAGAGATAAGGGAGCTGGCCGCAGGGTTAATCTCCAGTTCGTGGAGCTCACTGTTTGGTTCGTATCTTGAGAAATACTCATCCAAAAGGGGCGTGTGAGGTGTCCACTGAAAGCTCTCAAGAAGAGGAATCCATAGACATGCGGTTTGAAGGAAACGGAGCAGTTTAAGGCCTCCAAATCGTCCGAACAAAACGCAACCTTGCAGAATACGTTTTTGTATTCAAAGTAAGTTTGAATCCAAAACCTTCCTCTCTATTGTCTAAATCGTATGAATGATTTAAGAGCTATTATAAACTGGTTGAATGGTATAAGATGCTATTATATAGTGACTTTAATTGTTGGAAATGTTAGATACTAACCTAGACAAAACCTTGAAAGGTTAGGGGACGAATTTGTCGGAAAACACCCGTTCTAGGGACTGTTTTCGTGTCTTCGGTTAGGAGTTGAGCAAGCACCTCGAGGAGGCTGTTTAACACTCATTTTTAAGCAAGGAATCAGTTCTCAAACTTCCTTGGCCGAGGCTTTGGTCATTGGATCAAGAAGGAATAGTTTAAAGCTCATTTGAGGTGAGGATCGACATCTAATTGCTTACAACTTGTAGGTTAAGCATGAGATTACCTAAATGCCTAAATCATAATTTTTCATGGATTATGATGATTAAATATTGATGAAATATTGATATGGTTCCCAAAGAATGAAATTGGAAATGATTTGAGGATGTATGTATAATATGAGATTAAATGAGTTATAAATGAACTATTTTGTGGAATAGGAATTTTACTCATGTATTAAACATGTGGATACATAAATGGATATTATGTATTGAAGTGGAATATTTAAGTTGATGCTACATACTTATAAATATGTAGAGAATTACAAAATGAAGACATTTGTATAATGACAATAATCTTAATAGTATTGAAAATACTAGTTAGTGATTATTTGAAATTGTTGATAGAATTGATCCTAAGTATTGGATTGTATGGAATGAACTTGAATGTACTTCAAGTGTATAAAATGACTTAGTATGAAACTAAGGGCATGTTATGGGCGGTCATTGAGAATGACCCAAGGTAGATTATTGAGATGTCAATTCTAGGCATAGGGTTGCTTAGGAATTGGACTATAATGAAGAATTAGAGCCGGACTTTGTGATTTGCATGGAAATGTAGTTGGTCCGAGACCTTGCCATGTAAATTGTGATTTGCATAGAAATGTAGTTGGTCCGAGACCTTGCTATGCAAATGTGATAGGATGTAATCGTGATTTGCATGGAAATGTAGTTGGTCCGAGACCTTGCCATGTAAATTGTGATTTGCATAGAAATGTAGTTGGTCTGAGACCTTGCTATGCAAATGTGATAGAATGTAAATTGTGATTTGCATAGAAATGTAGTTGGTCTGAGACCTTGCTATGCAAATGTGATAGAATGTAAATTGTGATTTGCATAGAAATGTAGTTGGTCCGAGACCTTGCTATGCAAATGTGATAGGACGCAAATGTAATATAACGAACTTGACATAAAGGATTGCATAGAAATGTAGTTGGGCCGAGCCCTTGCTATGCAATGGTAATGTAATGAACTCTATGAATTGTCGTGGCTCATAGTCACGGGGAATGGAAATGGCGATTTCTAAATGAACATGGGCCCACGGGCCGACTACTTGACTTTTATATAAAGTAAGTATATTTTCAAACGAGGTAACTTGGGGTTACCACTATATTGTATTATCACCCTATTTGAGGGTCTTGTGTTTGAAATACTTGTTGTATATCTATTAGATGCCTGCCACACCAGCACTTTATAGCCGTATAGAGTGCTGACCCCTTCGGGGGCGTCCCACCACCATTTTTCAGGTTGAGGCTAGAGCTTGCTTCCTGTGCTCGTTGCTCGAGAGATCATCTAGGGGCGAAGACTTGGTTCGTGCTTCCTCCATTCGGATTTTAAACATTAATAAACATGCTCATGGATATTTTATTATAGAGCCTGCGTGCTCATGAATAGCCCTGTGTGGCCCTTTTGTTTTAAACAATGTTTTCCGCTGCGTTATGAATTACTTATTATGTTTGTTTATGGATGACTTGTGTGTGAATGATATTCATGACGCCTTGTATAATATGAATGTGTTGGACTGCGGTTGACTATTCGTATTGTACGGCGGGTTGTCGACGTGTCCGGGGAGGTCCGGGGCGTGACAATTAAGTTGGTATCAGAGCCTTAGTCCATAAACTTCATAATGAAGTCTCAAAATTCTCTCTTGAAAAGATTTTGAAAACCATGAGCATAGAAGTTTTGTACTTGGAGAGCTTTTGGTACTTGGGTTGCAAGGTCTCTAATTGTTAAGATGGTACCCTTAGCAATTGGTATGGCGGTGACTCGAGCCAAAATGTGTCTTAAGTACCTATCCGTCAATTGACATTGATACGAGTCTAACGACTCTTTCCAAATTTCTTTCAGAAATGGACCGTGGTGGCAGGATTACTAGGAGAAACCTGACTGGCCGTGTACCAGTGGAGACTGGACAGGGCAGTCGAAGGACCTCTAGGGCATCTAGAGGGGCTGGCCGAGGAGGCCGATCACAGACCGTGAGCGACGGTCATGTGAGTACCGAGAACGAGAGCTACTGGTCCTATGAGGACTCGACCTATCGACCGGAAACAGAACCGGTTGAAACCCCTTATGAAGGGGATGATGATGATGATGATGTAAGTGATGAGGAGGAAAACGGCTCCTTAGCACGGATTGAGGCACTACTCCAACAATATCACCGTGAGCGTGAAGAGAGGAGGGAACGTCGAAGGCGCCGAGCCGGGCAACCTTCGGGCGGGGCTTCAAGGGAGAGGAGTCATGGTGACTCTAGGGCCCATATCGAACCACATGAGGGCCGAGGTGATGGAGGCCCGATCGTAAGGATCTCCAAATACCTCAAAGAGGCACGAGACTTGGGGTGCAAACCCTTCAACGGAGCGGGTGACATCTCGGTCGCCGCGGAATGGATCAAGAGGTTGAACGAAGCAGCCCTTGATATGCAACTCACCCCCGAGTTTAAGCTAAGGGTGGCGGTGAGGTTGCTTGAAGGGATGGCATCCACATGGTGGGACGGAGCCAAGGGAAAGTATGGCAACACGGTGACTTGGGAGAATTTCCGACAGGAATTCTTTGCCCAATATTATTCTGATTTTGAGGTGAACGCCAAGAGAAGAGAGTATACCCTCCTGACCCAAGGGGGCAAAATGACGGTGAGGCAACTTGAACACAAATTCAGGGAGCTCGCGGAGTTCATACCGGAGTATGTCTGTGACGAGAACCGGATGGTAAATCACTTCTGGGATGCCTTGGACTTAGAGGTGCGTGAGAGGGAAACACAGTTGCCTAACATGACCTTTAGCCAAGTGGTCGAGCAAGGGTTGAAAGGGGAGAAACAATGGGAGGAGAGGAAGAGGAGAGATGCCGAAGAGGCGAAAAAGAGAAAGGGGGAGAGTCATGGCCCTCAAGGTTCCAATAAAAAGGGAAACCATGGAGGAGGATCTTTCCGAACACCACCGCCCCCACCTAGGGGGAACCAAGGCCCGAATGGACAAGGATCACGGACCTCGGGGGTAGCTCGGTGCAATAATTGCAAAAGGAGCCACTTTGGTAAGTGTCGTGACCCTCCTAGATGCTTCCAATGTGGGGATGCCGGGCATTTGAAGATGAATTGCCCACAATTGGGTGGGGCAAGGTCATCGGGACCAAGTAGCGGGGCTACGGGAAGTAGAAACCAAGCCGGGGGTTCCCAAGTAACCAGGGGGCAAGGGGGAGCAAGCGCGAGTAACGCGCCGTCCGTGAATCAAGGAAGGACGCAAGCTAGAGTCTACGCAATGACCGAGGCTGATGCTCGGGCTAATCCCGACTCCGTCGCAGGAACACTAAAGATTAATGGGAAGGATGCGCGAATCCTTATCGATACCGGGGCGCAACGTTCATTTGTGAATGAAGCGTTCGCCAAGAGGTTGGGAGTGCAATCCGCACCATTGATGCAAACCTTAGTGGTGTCAACACCACTAGGGGATGACGTGGAAAGAACTTGCCACTATCCATCGTGTGAGGTGGAAGTGGAGGGCCAAAACTTGTCGTGTGATTTCGTGCCGCTGAGTATGATTGAGTTCGATGCAATCCTGGGTATGGATTGGTTTGAGAAGCATCATGCTAGGGTCGATTGTTACACGAAAGTACTTGAACTCGAAGTCAATGAAGGGGTAACCTTACGCTTCGAGGGGGATAGGGCAAAATCCAATAGTTGCGTCATATCCGCTGTGAGGGCTAAGAACATGATGAGGAAGGGGTGTCATGCATATCTAGCATATGTAGTGGACAAAACCAAAGAAGAGACGAGTATTGATGATGTGAGGGTGGTTTGTAAGTATCCGGATGTCTTCCCTAAAGACCTACCGGGGCTTCCACCTGATAGAGAGATTGAATTTGTGATCGAGGTCGAGCCTCGTACCAAACCAATCTCCATTGAATTCCTTGTTATGTCGTTAAGGTTAACAAACGCCCCGGCGGCATTCATGGACTTGATGAACCGAGTATTTCATAAGTACCAAGACCGATTCGTGATTGTGTTCATAGATGACATCTTGATTTACTCAAAGAGTGAGGAAGAACATGAAGAGCACTTGATACTCGTTCTTGAGACACTACGAAAGAACCAACTCTATGCCAAATTTTCTAAGTGTGAATTTGGCTAAAGGAGATTGGCTTCCTCGGGCACGTGGTTTCAGGATCGGGAATTGCAGTTGATAACAAGAAGATAGAAGCCATTACCGAATGGGAGAGGCCAAAGAACGTCAAGGAAATTCGTAGTTTCCTTGGATTGGCAGGCTACTACAGAAAGTTTGTGGAGAAGTCCTCTGTTCTGGCATCATCATTGACGAAGCTCACTCGTAAAGGAGCTAAGTTCGTGTGGGATGACAAATGTGAGAAGGGGTTCTTAGAAATGAAGAAGAGGTTAACCGAGGCACCAGTACTTGCACTACCCAAACAGGGTATGGGGCACGATGTCTATAGTGATGCGAGCATCCAAGGGGTTGGATGTGTGTTGATGCGGATGGGAGGGGTAATTGCCTATGCTTCACGACAGTTGAAGAGGCATGAGGTAAACTACCCTACTCATGATTTAGAGCTGGGAGCAGTGGTGTTTGCATTGAAGATATGGGGACACTATCTCTACGGGGAGACGTGTCACATACACACTGATAATAAGAGCTTGAAGTGTGTATTTACTCATAAAGAGTTAAACATGAGACAGAGACGGTGGATGGAGTTGATAAAGGACTACCATCTAGTTATTGAGTACCATCCAGGGAAGGAAAACGTTGTAGCAAATACCCTCAGTCAGAAGAGTTCGTCTGGGGCATTGCTGACTAGTTTGAGGGCATTGAGAGCCCAATTGGATGTATATCCGCCTGTAGAGGAACGTGAGGATGTGAACTACGTTGTGCAACCGATTAAGGTCATTGATAGAAAGGTGAAGAAACTGCGGAGTAAAGAAGTCCCAAATGGTTAAAGTCCTTTGGAAGAGCGATCGTGTCGAAGAAGGGACATGGGAAATAGAGGCTTTGATGAGGGAGTAGTATGCTTCCCTATTTGAGTAGAGTTGCGAATTTCGGGGACGAAATTCCTGTTAAGGGGGGGTGAACTTGTGACACCGCACCCGAACGTCCTTGAAAAACTCAATATAAAAAAAAAAATTAATTTCTATGTATTGAATTTTCGATTTCCAAACAATTGTAAAACAATTAATGTTTTACGTAGCGCATGATTGATTTTTGTATTGTTCAAACTCGTATGTTAGTGTCGGGTTTGCAAATACTTATTTGGGCCTTATTAATGAACATAAGAGCCCAACATTATCTAAATAATGTTACATAATCTTTCAAAACAATTTGAGGAAGGTCGGGCGGCCCAAACATTATTTTGGGCCCAACCTGCTAAAAATAGCAAGTATTCAAGAATGGCATCGTAGGCCCACTCGGGGGTGACCCACACGGCTAGTAGTCCAATATATGAATGACGATGTCAAAATAAGTGATAGTATGATTAGAGAAGAATACAAATGCCTATGGTCCCATCTTCGACATTTTTGAGCTAAATAATGGGAGTATGATTTTCCTTCTAGAATATTCAACATGTAAGTTATTGGGATGATCCTACACATGTTGGGAATCAATAATATGATTTATGAAGTTGACTTGGCCTACATAAATTATAAGGAGTACAAAAAGACATCTCATGACAAGGATAAAACAATAGGGTCCATCTTTTCATTTTGGAAGTATTGGTAGGTATTTTGGACCCCAAATTGAATGGGATCATTTGGGAACCATCCCACATGACCTTGGTACCTGCAAGACAAAGAAAAATGGGTGAGACAACTATGTGGGGCGGACATTTGACTTGAGAGCTACAACATTACAAAAAAGAAATAAAAGAGGAGGTCCACACCATGTTTAATTGCAATCAAACACCCTACCCTTTCTTTTTGTGAACCACATGCTTAGATATCATTTTGGGAGCTCCTAAACACCTCCCCCTCACCCCCCATTCGAACTGAAAGGGATAAGAAAGAAGGGAGAGCCTCACACTCAAAAGAGAAAGAGATAAGGGAGCTGGCCGCAGGGTTAATCTCCAGTTCGTGGAGCTCACTGTTTGGTTCGTATCTTGAGAAATACTCATCCAAAAGGGGCGTGTGAGGTGTCCACTGAAAGCTCTCAAGAAGAGGAATCCATAGACATGCGGTTTGAAGGAAACGGAGCAGTTTAAGGCCTCCAAATCGTCCGAACAAAACGCAACCTTGCAGAATACGTTTTTGTATTCAAAGTAAGTTTGAATCCAAAACCTTCCTCTCTATTGTCTAAATCGTATGAATGATTTAAGAGCTATTATAAACTGGTTGAATGGTATAAGATGCTATTATATAGTGACTTTAATTGTTGGAAATGTTAGATACTAACCTAGACAAAACCTTGAAAGGTTAGGGGACGAATTTGTCGGAAAACACCCGTTCTAGGGACTGTTTTCGTGTCTTCGGTTAGGAGTTGAGCAAGCACCTCGAGGAGGCTGTTTAACACTCATTTTTAAGCAAGGAATCAGTTCTCAAACTTCCTTGGCCGAGGCTTTGGTCATTGGATCAAGAAGGAATAGTTTAAAGCTCATTTGAGGTGAGGATCGACATCTAATTGCTTACAACTTGTAGGTTAAGCATGAGATTACCTAAATGCCTAAATCATAATTTTTCATGGATTATGATGATTAAATATTGATGAAATATTGATATGGTTCCCAAAGAATGAAATTGGAAATGATTTGAGGATGTATGTATAATATGAGATTAAATGAGTTATAAATGAACTATTTTGTGGAATAGGAATTTTACTCATGTATTAAACATGTGGATACATAAATGGATATTATGTATTGAAGTGGAATATTTAAGTTGATGCTACATACTTATAAATATGTAGAGAATTACAAAATGAAGACATTTGTATAATGACAATAATCTTAATAGTATTGAAAATACTAGTTAGTGATTATTTGAAATTGTTGATAGAATTGATCCTAAGTATTGGATTGTATGGAATGAACTTGAATGTACTTCAAGTGTATAAAATGACTTAGTATGAAACTAAGGGCATGTTATGGGCGGTCATTGAGAATGACCCAAGGTAGATTATTGAGATGTCAATTCTAGGCATAGGGTTGCTTAGGAATTGGACTATAATGAAGAATTAGAGCCGGACTTTGTGATTTGCATGGAAATGTAGTTGGTCCGAGACCTTGCCATGTAAATTGTGATTTGCATAGAAATGTAGTTGGTCCGAGACCTTGCTATGCAAATGTGATAGGATGTAATCGTGATTTGCATGGAAATGTAGTTGGTCCGAGACCTTGCCATGTAAATTGTGATTTGCATAGAAATGTAGTTGGTCTGAGACCTTGCTATGCAAATGTGATAGAATGTAAATTGTGATTTGCATAGAAATGTAGTTGGTCTGAGACCTTGCTATGCAAATGTGATAGAATGTAAATTGTGATTTGCATAGAAATGTAGTTGGTCCGAGACCTTGCTATGCAAATGTGATAGGACGCAAATGTAATATAACGAACTTGACATAAAGGATTGCATAGAAATGTAGTTGGGCCGAGCCCTTGCTATGCAATGGTAATGTAATGAACTCTATGAATTGTCGTGGCTCATAGTCACGGGGAATGGAAATGGCGATTTCTAAATGAACATGGGCCCACGGGCCGACTACTTGACTTTTATATAAAGTAAGTATATTTTCAAACGAGGTAACTTGGGGTTACCACTATATTGTATTATCACCCTATTTGAGGGTCTTGTGTTTGAAATACTTGTTGTATATCTATTAGATGCCTGCCACACCAGCACTTTATAGCCGTATAGAGTGCTGACCCCTTCGGGGGCGTCCCACCACCATTTTTCAGGTTGAGGCTAGAGCTTGCTTCCTGTGCTCGTTGCTCGAGAGATCATCTAGGGGCGAAGACTTGGTTCGTGCTTCCTCCATTCGGATTTTAAACATTAATAAACATGCTCATGGATATTTTATTATAGAGCCTGCGTGCTCATGAATAGCCCTGTGTGGCCCTTTTGTTTTAAACAATGTTTTCCGCTGCGTTATGAATTACTTATTATGTTTGTTTATGGATGACTTGTGTGTGAATGATATTCATGACGCCTTGTATAATATGAATGTGTTGGACTGCGGTTGACTATTCGTATTGTACGGCGGGTTGTCGACGTGTCCGGGGAGGTCCGGGGCGTGACACAGACACTGCATCTTTCTCAGCTTGGAGCGCCGCCTCCTTCCTGGCCTCTTCGGCTTTGATGGCGGCAGCCTCGGCAGCCTCGGCGGCAGCTTCCTCAGCACTGCCCTTGCCTTTGGCCTCGGCATCTCTTAGCCTTTGTTCCATGGCCTCCTTCTCCAGCCGAAGGGCCTCCTCGGCATCGGCGAGCCGCTTCCTGAGGGCGGAGACCTCCTCATCAGATTTCTTTAAGGCCTCGTCTGCCTGGCCCTTTGCTATCCTAAGCTGCTCTACCCTCCGGGCCTGCTCGGAGGCAGCCAAGGCAGCCTGCAAAAAAGGGGGGGGGGGGGGGGGGAACCTCGGCGTCAGAAAATTCACATCATGAAGTTATCTCCGAGATACTTGAAAATAAAAAAAAAGAATAAAGGAGAGAAGAAGATTCACCATGGTAGTATAACTGGCGACTTTGTAATCAAGGATATCATCCTCGAAGCGAGCCAGCACGGATTTGTCCTTCGAGGACATTACTCCCCTCATGAACCCGACGGGGTGCAGAGTGCCATGCAAGACAGAGGTCCCCGACTTGATAGGGAACTGAACAATCTCCGCCGGCCGAATCCCCTCATCAATAGGAGAGGGAGGAGAACGACGGGGCGTATTAGACGGGGGATGCGAAGAGGGCTGGTCCTCGGCTATCAGGATGGGGGCCTCCTTTCTCCCCTCACCACCCTTCTTCTTCTTTTTCTCCGGAGGCATGACGCCCTTCCCGGTGTTCTTTCGCTTCAACTCCTCGATCTTGGAGCCCCCAGCCTCCACCTGGGCATCGGCGTCACCCTTTGAAGGGCCCTCAGCGTCTTTGTCCTTAGAAGCCCCCGGCTTCTGGAAGAACTCGTCAACGACCTTCTGTGAAGGAGGCCCCCCTTTCTTTTTGGCCTCCTTCGCCATTTGCTTCTTCAGTAAGGCAAGCGACTTGGCATCCATGTCCGGACCTGTAAAAAAGAGAAAAAGAGATAATATAAGCATACAGGTGTCAGGTTACGAATACAAGACAAAGAAATGCCCAAGTACAAAGTAAGGAGCCTCCGGTAAACACCTCCAATGCTTTGGTAGACTCGGTCAATCACGGGGAGTGTCTCATCCTTATCCCCCGGCAGACGGTACCGACGAAATCCCAGCTTGTACATCTCTTCCGGAAGGGTGGCCACCTTAATAGACATCAGCTTATCCGATCCCTTCGGCTTCGCTGCCAGCTTTTTGCCATTTTTATCAAGGGAAGCATTCCGGACCCTCAAATGCCTTCGAAAGTGATGGCGGAGAGGCTCCGGGAAAGGATTAGCGGCCATACGGAGATAGCAAAACTTCTCTTTCCAACCCTTATGTGACGAGGGCACCTCAGAAAAAATCCTCCATTCAGGCACCTGCTGGAGGTTGGCGAACCCTTCGCTGTTAGCATGCCCCCCTCGGCACAAGTTGAAGCTCAGGAAGAATTGGTCCAACGTCGGCTCCACCTCCCGGCTTCGGCACTGCGACAGGAACCCGCTAATATATGAATGGCTATTGGGGGTAAGCTGGCAGGGGGCCAGTCCCACGAACTTGAGATACTCCAGCAGAAAGGGGTGGAGCGGAAATCGAAGGCCTAGATCCACGGAAAGTATATGCACTGAGAAGCACCCTTCCGGAGGATTCAGCAGCAAATCATTTGGCCCCGGTTCCACTACTTGTGCGAAGGGTCCTACGAGGACCTGAGTGGCCTGATAGTCGGAGGCTGTGGCCTTCGTCTTCAGCGCAAGGGCCGCTGTGTTCAGATACGAGTGGCCCTCGGGTATTCCCACCGGTTGACCCGCGTCAATGGCAGCCTGTTTTTTCTTCGGGGCCGCCAGGATCTTCTTCTTCTTTTCCCCGGGGGCGACACTTATCGGTTCCGGATCCAGGGGCCGGGAGCTACTAGCTTCACCGGCGCCACGAAGAGGGAGTGCGGCGACAGTCACCTTCATCCGCTCCTTTTCCTCCTCCTCCTCGGCCACTTGGAGGGCGAGGGCAAGTTCTTCGTCTTCAACGACTTGTTCAAAGTCTTCGGCTTCGGCCTCAGTCCTGAGATTATCTTGGACTTCCAGCGCCACTGCGGAATCGTTTTTACCCGAGGAGGTCTCACTCGAGGACTCCACGTCCGAATAGCCCTCTTGTTGCACCGAGGGCTCCCTCGAGATATCTTGAGAATCGCTTTGGGTTGACATTTTACCGAAGAGAAGTTGAAGGGTTTAAGGGAAGAAGGCTACTTAATGCTCTACCCGAAGGCTCTCTAAAAATTCGCTAACACTAAATCAAATGGAGGAAATGGCAGAGTATGCTAAGGAATTCGAAGAACTGAAGAAGAACTGACCTCGAAAGTTGCTTTTGATCGAAGGAATTACTTTCTCTCTCTAGAAAATTGGGCAGAGCTTCGCTATAGCTTAAGGACGCACAATGGAAATGGCTTGGGGCTCGGGGTATTTATAGGCTTTCAGCCTCGAGAACTGGGCCTCGATTTCAAAAAGGCCATCATTACGGGCCGCCGGTTCAACCAATGGGTAGCACCCGCCCCCCATCTGCCAACGACAAAGCGCCACGTGGAACCCTCTTCCAACGGCTCTATTGCAACGGCTATATTCCCCGAACATTAGGTGGCCCTCGAATGATAGCCTCCGGCTATCGCTCTCCGCAGCCTTCGCATAACGAATTCCATCAGTCGCCTTCGGGCGTGTAACAACATAACCTTTCGGCTCATCAAGGTTACCACCCCTCGGGGGCTCATCGACACATCATAACTCCTTCAGCCCGAACTAGCCCTCGGCCTAAAGGAGTGGGGGACTAGGACACACCCCTCGGGAATCACACAGAACAAAATTGTCTCAAGCGAAAATCCACGATTGACGCATATAGCCCCCGGGCAAAACATCAGAATGGGACCCCTCGGGTACATACTTCAATGTACCCTTCAGCAGCGGCAGTGCATCAAAAATTTTCCCAAGTCACTCACGGAAATAAAGCAGCCCCCATCACAACACATACAAGCAATACATCTGTACTTTCCTCAGAAAACCCTCGACATGTGAGGGACTGAGGGAAGCCTTCGGCAACAGGTGTTATACTTCCCTCAGAAAACCCTCGACATGTGAGGGACTGAGGGAAGCCCTCGGCAATCGGCAGGAGGCAAGTCCTCTAGCAGAGGCGCCCAACCAAATGGTAAAGCCTCCAGAAGAATCAACACATCTACTCCTTTTCCCGCAAGTACCTTTCGGCAAAAGGAGTGAGGGACTCCTGATGGAGTATATGGCCCAGGAGCCCCCGGCCCATAGACTCCTACTTCTCCTACACAAGTCCATTAGGCCCAGAGAACAACTCAGGCCCAAATACGGCAGCCCAAGCCTCAAAATAGCCCAGAATACACACTGGGGTGCCTTCGGCTACCTTGGCCGAAGGCTCCAAAACTCACAGGATAGCCTTCTTTGGCGTAAGAAGCTTCTGGGAGAAAACGGCGAAAAACATGAGCCTTCGGCATTATCAAGCCCTCGGCATCAGAGAAGCCTTCGGCTGCACCAAGCCTTCGATCACACAGAGCCTTCGGTTATGTAGGGGTCCTTGGTCGCATGGAGCCCTCGGCTACACAAGGGGCCTTCGGCCGAACATGCTCAATCATCGAAGATTCCTTTCGGAGACAGCCAACCACCGCATTTAATGCCACGTCACATCCGCCAACCGCATTCAATGCGGTGAACGTACCACTGCCGGTGCCACCCGGCTGATGTGACCCTTCGGCCGTTGGATCACTGACACGTGTACTCTCATCGCATTTATTGCTGCTATAAATAGCAGCCCATTTCTCCTTGTAAACGATCCCAACTCCCACACGCAGAGTTCATTTAATAAATCAACTCTCTCTCCTCCTATTTTGCTCCGACTTCTCTCTAGTTATTCCCGCGATAACCCTTCGGATAATATACCCCCCGGGTAGACTATCCATCAGTTAGTTTGTAAGTATTTGTTTCATTTTAGTTGTAATTGTTTTTACCTTCTATTTCTAGCTATAGAATAGTGATAGAGTTTTTAGCAAGCAAAAGGGGAGAAAAGCTGAAGACAAAAATGCTCAGGAACACAAACCCGACCGGGTTCAAGGTCTGACCCGGTCGGGTCAGTTAAAGATCAGGATCTAAGAGGAAAGAGTAAGACCCGGTCGGGTCCCTTACTCGACCCGGTCGGGTCAGATTTGACCCGGAGCACCAGAACATGCTGCAGATCACAAAGATTTGGAAAAGATCTGATTTTGACCAAACCCGGTCGGGTCCCTTACTTGACCCGGTCGGGTTTGACTTGACCCGGACAATTTAACGTGCTGAAAACACAAAAACGTGGGAGATAATCTGATTTTGACCGGTACCCCGGTCGGGTATGTACCTATACCCGGTCGGGTACCCGGCCAAAGGTGTTGAAAAACACCTATAAATAGCACACTTTTTCTTCACAAAAAATCATCCCTTCTTCCATATACTTAAGCTCAGTTTAGAATAGCATTTCTTTATATTTCTTTTAGCATGTTTAGTCTCCAAATGAGGAGCTAAACTTCCAATTCTTGGTTTTGCTCTTGAAGCTTGTTGATTATTAAAGTTGTGAGTTATTTTCTTACTTTCTCCTCTTGATTATTAATTCTTCCCTTAATCTCATTCTATATTAATGTTGGAGGGTGGCTAAGTGACGATTAGTTAACGTTCCGACATTGATTATTACTAGAAACGATCAACGAACCGATGGTTAAACGTTGATGGTTTCACAAGTAAGTAACTTCGGTTTATTAATGCACGGTCGTGGTTAATAAACTTAAGAGGGATTAATTTTGTTGGTTAAACCGAAACCGTTGTGTTGAGGTTATCAATCTTAATTGATTTCATCTAGGAGTTAAAGAGGTTAAATGCTACTATTATATCGGTATACGGCGTTGTTCTATATTTGATTAATAGTAAGGGTTATTAATGAACGGTCGTTGTTAATAACTACCCTCGATGAATTGGAGATACTCCGCGATTGAGTATTCGAGAGGGGATAAGTTATAGATATAACAATGATCGACTAAAATATATCAATAAGTGGAAAGTAGCAAGACCAAGTCCCTTTTATTCTTGAATTTAATCCTATATAACTCGTTCATCTTCGTGTTTAATTTAATTAAATCACTCAACAATCAAAACCCTCCTTTATTTACTCCTTTCATTAAAAAGATTAATTATTCCTTTCCCTGTGGATACGAACTCTACTTCACCTATACTACGTATAAGTGCTAGTATCGATTTATTTTGAGTGCACTCACGACAAAGTGCACGTCATCCATCCCGTTTGCAATCCTATGGTCGCTATATGTACTGTCTCGATATCTACTAATGCAATAACCCCCATTTCTGAAGCTATTACTACTGAAAGTGTTGCCTTTGATGAACTATTGGTCTCACCTGGTACTGAAAATGTTGTCCCGATTGTGATGGATTTGGTTCATAATTCTGATAATATTGCTACCTTTGTCGACAAAGTTGATACTATAATTGTTCCTATTGATGGCCGAAATTGTTGTGCCCCTATTAAACATGTTACTGATTCATGTGATGCCCCTATTTGTGATGTTACTGCCTCAGTTACCCCTCCTGCAGTTTCTGAATCTCCCCCTCCCCTTAATTGATCGAAGTTGTTACAGTTAGTGAAGTTGCCATTTTTGTTTATATAAATGATATAGCTACATTTGAACCTGTACCCACTTATGCTCCATGTCCAGTTTCCAAAGTACAGAATGAGCTCCTGGTGGCTATCTATTACAAGGTGGTAACCACATGTGATGTTCATCTCCCTGTACCTACTCAAGTGATTATCACAGAATCTGAGATTAATGCCCCTATTGTTGGGCCTGCAGCGGGATATGAGGAAACTGATTCTGATCCCATGAACGATGATACTACATTTGCCCCACATTTGTCCTATGATGATACTCTATCTGAGGACAACCACAGTTTATATATTTAGTTTATTCTCTCAAGATTATCTACATTCATAGCATTCATTCTCATACTTGATTGCATTTACATATACACTTATATTTTTGACCTTATATTGTTGACCTTCGATTATGTAAGGTTTTTTATACTCTTCCTCCTAAATTTCAGTCTAAGATTCTTGTAATTTAAGACAACGAGTAACCAGCGGCAAACAACAGTTGGCAAGAGAGATTTACAAACTTACATCGTAAGTTTATTACATTCAGGACTTCTAAAATGAAAATCAAATGATTGAATTAAGGATGATTTTTGGATTCGTTACAGATTTTCTATTGGTTGATTGTTTTTCTACCGATGGTTTAGTTTCTGTGGCCGGATTGTGATGCTGCAGAGTATTTATATATAGTCGATGTTGGCTTATAGCTATTTGCTGACTGATATATATGCCTATTTGATTTTATATATGAAGCATATTGCTGTAAACTCAAATATGAAACTGTCTAAGCTGGAAATTTTGTCTTGGTTCTTTTGAAGCAGTTTGGTGTTGCACTTGATACTGCTCTTGAAGCTGTCCATGAGGAAAATTCTATCCCGGGCCCTTTTGATGCTAGTTTAGGAGCCAGTAATGGCAACTGACCAATTTGGATACTACGGTAGGCTTAGATGAAGCCCCGTGGCTACCTCTAACAAGGCAATAACCATTGGTGAAGTTCATCCGCTTTTGATTCTCACTAATGCTCACTAGATTGATGGTACTACTACTCACAAAAACACACACAACATCTTCTGGAGATGATGAATTTAATTTTGATCCGCCCAAAGTTGAAGCCGAAGTTGATACTACAGTTACCTCAAACTTGTCCTATAATGGTGCTCCATCTGTGGACCTCTCTGTTTCCCATAATCTTTCTATTGTTACAGGTATATCGACAGACGAGAAAGACTGCCTCGATGGAGCCTTCACGCCAGTAAGAAACAGAAATTAATGGAGAGGGAAATTGTGTATTAGTCCCAGTTTTGCATGTATGTTCAGTAAAGAACATATTTTCAATTCAGGTATTATAGTAGTGGCCTTGGTTATTAATTTCATGTTGCTTTTGGCTTCTTATATCGAAATTTTCTCTTCTACTTCATCTGATTAAAGTTGTATGATGTTCTATCAGGTAAGTTTATGTATATTATTTTTATGGTAAAGATCCTTTGATTGCATTTACATATACACTTATTATAGTGTTGGCCTTTAATTATGTAAGGATATCTTTGCTCTTCCTCTTAAATTTCAATCTAAGATTCCTGTTATTTGAGACAACGAGCAACCAGCGGCAAACATCAGTTGGCAAGAGAGATTTACAAACTTTATTACATTGCAAGTTTATTACATTTAGGACTTCTAAAATGAAAATCAAATGATTGAATTAATGATGTTTTTTGGATTTGTTGCTGATTTTCTATTGACTGATTGCTTTTCTGCTGATGGTTTAGCTTCGGTGGCCGGATTGTGATGCTACAGAGTATCTATATATTTTGTCTCATGGATATTTTCATGCCGATCTTGTGAGTTTCCTTAACAGAATATTCTCTTTTTGTGCTTGCAGATCTTATTTTCTTTATTGTACTTTCAGATTTTTTTTCAAAAGCAAAAGCTTCTCGAATTTGTAATTTGTCTGTCCAGCTTAATATATACTGTTCTTCTTTGTATAACTTGTTCCTATAACCATTAAATTATAAATTTTAAAATCTTTTTAATATGTAATTTGTTATGTAGTTACTTGGTGATTTGGTGAATACGAACTCGTGAGGTTGAATGTGAATATGGGCTGGTGAGGCGGCTTACATTTTCTGTCGTAGTTGTGTTGACTGACCAAATACCAAATTATTTTGTATGTCACTATTGTGATGTTTGTAAAAAAAGAAGTTTTGATTAACATCAATTGTCTTATATTGCTATGCTTCCAGATACTTGAGACTATGATGATGAAATCCCCCCCCCCCCTCTGACCTTATTTAGCATATATGGATCAATCTGGCATGTAGCTTGGTAGAGAAAACATGACAGCAAGCATCTTTACAGCCATGGTGGTGTTTAAAAAATCTGTCCATAATTAAATCTGAGCCTTGAAAGACTATCGTGGACTCAAACAAAATGCTCTTGAGCGGCTGAGCCTGTCAATCTGAGCCATGGCAGTAAGCAATACACTTCTTTTCTGTGAACAGGCAAATGAGAGGAACAACAAAATGCTCCTATACTTGATGAAGGTACTTTTTTTTATATGAAAACATGTGAAATAAATTGGTTTAAATAAATTGCCTAAAAAGTGTCTAATCATTCAACGGTTTATTATTTATTCGCCTAAAAAGCGTCTAATCATTCAACGGTTTATTATTTATTCTATAAAAGATATACAAAACACACTTGTGAAAGGTTATTATTTTTTGGATAAGGTTTTACTTTTCACATTAGCTTCCTTAATTCATTTGAACGAACCTAACACTTTCACTACTTTTAATTTCAGAAACTTCAGTTAATTAGGGGTTTTGTTGTTAGGAGAACAAATGGTTCAGCAGGGCATATATCCATGGATACTGTTGCAGACGCCCAACCACACAAGGTTCTTTGTTTAGAAGGTATGACATTCTGGATTTTAGGGTATTCATTAATAAGAAATACATTAGAGAGGTTGAGTTTCACGTATATACCTGGATTGGTAAAAGAAAAGATGGCCTCATTTTAAACAAACTTGATAGAATCTTAGTATCCCCTTAGTTTAATAATCTCAATCTCACTTTATCTATTCAAAAACTCAACAGATGTGTTTCTGATCACAATCCTATTTTACATAAAGAGAATACCTTATCTAAGGTTGGCCGTGGGACTTCGAAATTTCAACATATGTGGATTAAGCACTCGATTTTTGTGACATCCTGGAATCAGCCTTGTGATGATTTTGGGATGGGAAAATTCTCTTTTAAATTTAATTAGAAGCTCAAAACTGATTGAAAGTTTTGGAATAAAACCATTTTTTGAAACATTTTCAACAAGCTTGTTGAAACTGAGATTGAAATATCCTTTCTGGAGGATAGGGTGGCCACAAATGTGAATAAAAAAGACAAACTCTTGATCAAACAAGTTCAAGCTAATTATATCCATTATAATTCATATCAAACAAGGTAAAGAGGTCTCTCATAATATTTTAATGCTAAAAGAATTGCTTAAGCACATTGACAAAAAAGTCAGAGGTCAAACCATTGTTTTTAAATTTCATATGCAAAAAATTAAACTTTTGATGGAATGTCTTGGCACTCTATTGAAATCACTCTTAAACAATTTAGCTTTCATGATCTTTTTGTATCTCTCATTATCAAAACATTCCCCATGGTGTCTCTTCTAAAGGTGTGAAACAAGATGACCCCATCCTCCCTGTTCTGTTTATTATGACTACGGAAGACCCAGACTTTGCACATCTTCTCTTTTTCATTATCATTTATAGAAGGGGTGACCAAATGTTTTTCTATCCCTTCTTACTTCGAAATGTGTAGGCAGATTTATGACTTTTCTGGTATCATTTCCTTGTCTTATTTTGTTTTTAGTTTTCGCATCCGATTCGTTATTGATTTAGGAGTAAATCTATCATTTGCTCTATTGCTTCTAATTTTTGACTCGAGTTAATTGGGGGTTTTGCTGCAGAAAAGCTTGTTGCAGCTAAACCTGTTTACATTGTCGCAGAATCCGGCTAAACCACCTAACATATGGCTCTTTTTATATAGTTTGTTTTATTTGCTAGGAGGTAAACTAAAACCATTTGATTTTATATGGCTACTTTTATTTTGATCTAATATGTTATACTTTGTATGATACAAATTTGTGTCTTTATATATAGTGATTCCGTGGGTGCACAGAGTGCTTATTTTGCTACTAAACTTTCCAAAATATTTTCATATTCGTGCTTTGATCTCTCAAAGCTACAAGGCAGGGGAACTGCACATATATTTAAAAACTCCAAGTGGTCTTATTTTCATATTTTGAAGTTCTCCTGTTTGACACAGAAGGTTTTTCACTGAACTTAGGTGCACCACTTGTTGCTAACTATGTCCCTACACTTTCCGGGGTATATTTTCAGCCCATTCAAAAAGCTTTTTGATATACTCACAATCCTTAACCTCCAAGGCTTGGCAATTGTATATCATCCCTTCTATTTTACTTGCAATGCATATCACTTCCCTGTGTACGTGGAATCTACGTTTCTGGACTGCTCATACATGCAACTATTTTGTCCTGCTTCATTTCTTTATGTGCTCGGCAAAATTCCAGAGGTGTGTCCTATTGCCTGTTAATTATCATTTACAATTGCGTCCTGTGAATCATACCTGAGTTTTATTATTAATGTAGGAGACTTGTGTTGCGTTTTTGAACCGGTGCTATGATAAGCGCGGTAGGATGCTGATCGAGCATGGCACAGAGTCAGAGCATTTTTTAGGCGTGGAAATGGATCTCTTGCAGGAAATTCAAATGGTTTTCCACATCAACCAAGATTCCAGCCTAACCTTTTTTTTAAGAATGGTCGTAGAGGAGCCCCCGCCACAAGCATACATACGAGATCAACAGCCTTGCATCCACCAACATTGCTGGGCCTGCTTGATCCTCTGCAATGTATGCTTCTCTGCTGATGTACTGCTACTTTTTTGTTATGTTTTGTTTCAATGATGGTTTGCTTCAGACAATTATGAATACTTTTTAAACTACATTCCGGTGAATGAATTGACAATGTTAATCTACTATTTCTTGTTCTTGTTTTTACATATTCTGCTCTTTTTCACAGTCCATCTTCTTCCATTGGGCATTGACCCTCGCGCGAAGCGCGTGCCAATGCTAGTATCCATATATATATTTGTACCTCTCTTCCGGAACGCTAATTATTAATTAGGGCGTGAAGGTCTAACAATCACATTGAGGATGATGCAGAAGGGATTATAATGAACCGTGGAGTTGTACTTTCTCCGTTCTTTAATTTTTGCAACATTGTGATTTTTGCACTATTCCCATATCTTACTTTGACCATGATTTTTTTTTTATTAATATACATAATCAAATCATTACATATAAAATGTTGTTGAATTCCTATCAATGTGAATTTCCAAGACATCAACTTTTTATAATGTTTACTAATACATATAATTAAATATAATTACAGTCAAATTTGTGCATTGGTAAACATGAAAGTCAAACTTTTGCAAGAATTAAAGAACAGATGATACTATATTGCAACATCGTTGTCAAAGACCACTGCTTGAACTCGGATTCCCTTTTTATTCATGCTTGATACAATGCCGGTTCTACCTAAACTGGAGCCTGAGTCAAGCTTTATATAATGGACCCCATACATTGTGTTTTTTATCATGTAGATCACTAAAATTGAATGATTAAATATCAAAACACAATTTTTAAATAAGAGTCTTACATTATAACAAAATGACATTGGATGTTTTTTGTGTGGGGAAAGTGCCGGGGAACACTTCCCAAATTTATTAATAAAAATTACTAAAGGTACACAGAAGAGTTCGAGAGAATTACATAAAGAGGGGGGGGGGGGCATTAGCAATCGAATTTTTTAGTAGGTATCCAAAGAATAGTTGAGATTGATCTATTGTACTTATTGTGCAAAATGATATTGGATGTATTAAAAAAGTACTTATTCATGTTTTTGGCCTGACTTTCTGAAGTGGCTCTTTTATTCGAAATCAAGTAATTATTCATTTTTTCGACCTAACTTTGAGTTAATGATTCAACACATGATTTTCTTTTCCTCTTTTGAAATCCAGACATAGATTTTGGATGCATAGTGCTAAAAATAAATAAATACATAATTTAGTGGAACACTCAACAATATATATTAGTAATTTTGTCTACAAAATACAAAGCATATAATTTGATTAATTGTGAATTGAGGATTCCATAATTTCAATATTGATAACCACATAGAGATTAGAAAATACATAGGTATAATAGTAAAGAATAAAAAATTGGGGCCCCTAATTTTTCCAATTTTTTGGGTCCTGAGGCATGGGCCTATCCAGCCTTGCATAAGGCAAGGCCTGGCTTGATAAGATGTTTATAGACATTAGTAATTTCAAAATAAAAGGGAAATAAAAGCATTTTTGAAAAAATTTACTCATTTGTTTTCATGTTTAGTTTTCAATTACCAACTGCATGAAATCTTTAGGTCCACTACAATCTAACATTTAAGGAGAATATAAAAGTTCGAATGGAAATTGAAAAATAAGGAGTTACTTTTTTTTTTGAAAACAGAATTAAGGAGTTACTTAAATCAAGATTTCTTGTGTTGTGTATATATATATATATATATATATATATATATATATATATATATATATATATAGGTTTTGGTTCAAATAAGAACACCATCTAATGTGATAAATAAGAAACAATCCTGGCCATTAGATCAATTGATTTTTTCAGCTTCTCACGTGTGTATGCAAAGGCCAAGATGGTCATTCCAAAATTTATTTCCTTTTGTACGTATGCAGCTTTCCTTCCATGTTTCTTTCCATAATATTTTGTCAATCAATTAAACGTTTGATTCATTTCCTTTTCAGTTACGAAAAGCCATTCCATGTACGTGAAATCTCTCAAGCTCGACGTCCTGACTATCTCTTCCTCCCTAAAAACACTGAAGCTCCATTAATGGATAAAGGTTCATTTTTCTTGGCCTGCTTTTGTTTTTTTTTGTACGTATTTTTGATTTCCTTTTCCTTTTCATTTCGTTTTCCTTACTATATATCTCCAATAATTCTTTGTTGCTCCTTCTCGTTTTTAAAATTTTTGTGAATAAGCTTCATTGTTTGTGTTTCAACGTTAATTTTGTTCTCTTGCGTGATGTTTCATCGTAAATTTTCTAAGTTCCTATATCAACTAAGTTTCATCGTCAAGTTTCATCATTTAGCGCTATGTCTTTGTTGTTGTGTTTGTGTTTTTATTTTCTTTGAATAACTATAAACGTTTGTGTTTCTTTTTTTTTACTCGTGTAGAAGTTTTACAAATATCTCCTGGATTAACCAAGTATGTATTGGATCCCTGAATGTGATGAAACATTCAAACCAAAGCTTAGCATGGTATTCAAAACATTGTTTGGAAATATGTTGTGCGCAATAGAGCCAGTTTCAAGAATCCTGCTAAACCCAATCCGGTAGAAGCCAGTCATGGTCCTGTGTTTAGCGCTATTAGTAATGAACAGGCAGAATGCTCACATAATGACGCAGAGGCTCACAATTTGCCAGAGCAAGCAGAGCCTTCACAAATGTGCTTGCCTAATTGCACACTAGTTCATTTAAAAGTGCTTCCTATTATTTAGCACATCTGATGTTATCTAAATGCACACTCCATTTATCACAAATGTGCTAGAATAAGTTCAAACAATGCATCTCAAATGTGCTTGCGTAATTCCACACTAGATAATTTTAAACAAATGATTTAACTTTTGAACAAATGATTTTACTTAAATGCACATTCCATGTGCAATAATCAATCTCAATCAATGCACGCAAGAGATCATCTTTTCCCACACGCATTCAAGCAAATCAACACAATTCATCTAATTTATCACTAGATAATTTAACAAATGTACTACATAATTTCACTCTACTTATCACAAATGTGCTTATCCAATTGCACACTAAATAATTTTAAACTGATTTATATAATTTAGCACATATGCTTTTATGTAAGTGCACAATACATTATTCATAAATGTACCAAATACATTAACACCATGTATCACAAATGTGCTTGCCTAATTGCTCACTAGTTCATTTAAAAGTGCTTTAATTTCTATAATTTAGCACAACTGAGGTTATCGAAATGCACACTCCATTTATCACAAATAGGCCTGAATAAGTTCAAACAACGTATCTCAAATGTGCTTGTGTACTACATAATTTCACTTTACTTATCACAAATGTGCTTACCCAATTGCACACTAAGTAATTTCAAACTGATTCATCTAACTTAGCACAAATGCTTTTATGTAAATGCACAATTCATTATTCATAAATGTACCAGATACATTAACACAACGTATCACAAATGTGCTAGCCTAATTGCACGTTAGTTCATTTAAAAGTGCATCCTATTATTTAGCACAACTGATATTTTCTAAATGCACACTAGTTCACGTTTTGCTATGGACCTTGTTTCTCTTCTCTCCATCATTTAAGCTACTTACTATGGTTGAGAAGAAACTTACCAAATTAAAGTCTTCTAACTTTGGTAATGACGATAATGATGGGATTCAACCACATCTTCTACCTTCCTTGCATACAGCTTCCGTTTTTTTTTAAATTATCAAGTGTCCAAATTACCCCTAACGTGACAATCTTTAAGTTGACTAGAAGCTGCAATTAATTTATTTCCTCTTATAACAAAATCGGCTGCCCCTTTTCTGCACTCAATCTCACCATCCGATTTCACAAATCTACGGTTCTAAACCGTTTTTATTTATCACCTAAACTAGTGTTCTTACTTGAATCAATCCCTATATATATATATATATATATATATATATATATATATATATATATATATATATATATATATATATATATATATATATATATAGGGGTGAGATCACATACAAACTAGTCTTCCCATGCTAACCTACAAACTATCACAAACTGTGCATCTTTACATTATTTGTAGTGCATATTGAAGTTCAAAGTGTTGCATATTATTTGTACTGCATATTAAAGTTCAAAGTGTTGCATATTATTTGTATTGCATATTGAAATTCACAGTGTGCATCTTTACATTATTTGTACTGCATATTGAAGTTCAAAGTGTTGCATATTATTGAGTTTGTAGGTTAGTATTTTAAGCATGGTTTGCATTTGATCTCTTTTATATATATATATATATATATATATATATATAGGGGAGGGTTCTAATGAGAACCTCCCTTAAAATGAGAACTCACTTAAAATGAGAACAATTAATATCAACCGTCCGATCTATTAGATCTTAATTAAATTACTTTGGAAACGACGATTACTCTCCCCTGAAACCATTCACGTCTCTTCTCTTTCGCACCAAAAGCTTTTCTTCAGAAAAAAACATAGCTCCGCTGTTGAACTTCTGTCTTCTTCTCTGTACCAGCCACCGTCTTCATCCACAATCGGCGGTCGTCAATATCCTGGTTTGTGAGGACTTGTATTCTTCGTCTTCTATTTTAATCATGAGTTCGATTCATATCTCTGCTGCCGAGATAGGTGAAACAAGTGAACAAGTTGCACCTCTAGCTCAATCTAATTCTTTACAAGCTTGGGATCCTTCTATAGCAAGTATGTTATCTTAATCTTTTTATTTTGTAATCTGCATATATAATCATTTATTTTTCTGTTTTTTCTTATACATATAGAAATTAAAAATAGGATGAATATGTAGAAGCATATCTCGTAATCACTTTCTTGAGAAGCATTTCGTAACTACATTCTTGAGCAAAATATGAAGATATTTTTTATGGAAAATCTGGAATGGGATACTGTTGTTAATTTCTTAGGTGGGTATCCATCTTGGGTTATAAGTTTTTTCCTGGGCAGTATGTGAATTATAAGCATGAAAGACTTGAATGAATTAAAAACATCCAAAAGTATGACAGTTAATGATTTGTTATTGATTTGAAAAGAAAGGGTCCGTAGATTACCACAAGATGAATAAAAATGTAAAAGTATTGCTTAACCTTATTTGCAAATTACAAATATA